CCAATCTTTGGATGATACATCTTTTCAAAAGATTTATACAATATCTAGTAATTTGCCCGCCGGAACCAATATATAAAGTATCTCTAGTCTTAAGGTATATTTCTCGTTTCCTAATGTAAAACTATTAACTAAACTTTTCTAAATTGTATATGACACTTATTAATTAGTAAAGGAGAAGTAGCATTATAATAAACTTATTTAAAATATCAAATGATAACGTTTAATTGCTATCAAATTATCAACATTAATTATTGTGGCATTTTTAAGGAAACACTTGCATAAAAACATTTACTGATGAAGTTATAAACGGAAGTATTAGTCTACCTTCAATAGGTACACATAGCCTCATATCTTTAGATAGATAGATATATAATTTATTTGCATTATTTACAGCACACAATTTATAACAGACACAGATATACATAAAAAGTGAGATAAGAGAACTTTTTTAAAATAAAATACATAAAAACCATGTACAATTTTTCGTTTTGTGCGTGTGCCAAAACAATATAAAATGGTCACAACTCAGTTTATTGAACTTTAGATTAATGAACATAACTCTACTTATAAAGGATAAACTTAAACACTTTCCTATATCTATAATAATTTTAAATAACGCAACATCGTGTATCGTTAATTATCAAAACGTTTTTTGTGATATGTCTAAAATAATGTATCATTTTTTTCCCAAGAAATCAATTTTAATATTAAAAAAATTACTTTGGAACTAACGGGAGTAAATTATATTTATTGTAGAACTTAAAATGGCGTACAAATGCAAGTAGTAATCGTTGTCATGTCTATACATAAAAAGCACTATTGACTATCGGCACCTCAGAATATTCTGTTATGCCAACAGTACCCTTCATACTTATACCCCTCGGGACTAGCAATTCCCGAGAACTCTAAATACCTCAGTACCCTGTAACTTCACTACTACATCCTGTCCTTTAAACCTAAACAGATATATAGCTGTTTTATTGTGCTGAATTAAAAAAAAAAATATCTAAATTTGAAACTAAATGATAGTTACCGTATCTCGTATCTCGTTACCTTAGATTATATAGATAGAGTGTCTCCATGCAAATGTTTTGAAAAATACGAGTCAACTTTTTCTTACAATTTTGTGTGATGAATGACTAATTCTTTTATAACTTCTATATTTAGTTTGTCTTATAAATTCTGCATTTTTATTTATTAAATAAATATAGATACATCAAGATACACTGTGTGCGTAAGTATGTAGAACATTAATAAAAAAAAACGAGTCGGCTAATTTGACAATTACTTGATAAAAAGTTGGCCCGTTCTTGAGGCTCGATGCTCTATCTATTTAATCTAAGCTCGTAACATATACAAGAAATACAATTGAAGCGAGAAACTCCTTGTGGGGGCCGGTAAGAAACTGTTACCATATGATACTATCACGTTGGTATGCTCACGTACTCAGTTCATAAGTCTCTGTAAAGTTTCAAGATAAAATCAACGCCACAAAGAAGCGAGTGGCGCGTCGCCTGTGACAGGTGAGCGGGTGTGGCGGCGCACCCTCATCGCGGTATACCTACTTCACTTTACGCACACACTTGGGCGAGTCACTCAACATCTAGTTGAAATAGAGGCATAATATGTATATTAGACGCCATTACACCTATTATATACCTATTTTATAGGGTCATTTTAACGAATAGCACAGCCAAAATATTAGCCCTTCTTAATAGAGCGTTTTAAAATAAAATAAATAGAAAAAGTCTTTAGTGAAATAAAATATTTTTTATTTATTACCTCTTGATACCTTACGACTCAACAATAGTCATGAAATTTGGTATACATGTAATATTGAGCATAAGCTTTATACTCCTGTCAAGTAGATGACATTGATGTAATAATTATAACTATATACAATCGAAATAATAAATAACTTCAACATCATCATTTAATATTCAAAATTTAACACATCAAGTATCTTGCCCGTAAACTCGTTTATTTTAGTTTATAATATTTGAACTATTCAATGGATTTAAACGAGATTTTGCTAATTCTAATTGAATTGTCCAGTCTTACAAAATAGCTTCCCTGTTCCTACACAAATTATTTAAAATATAATAAAATTTTTTAAATAGCTATAAATCATTAGTAAAAAACCATAAGTATATAGTGTCACAGATGATATTCAAGTAATTATTCAAGTAAAGGAATGTGTGCGAAGGCAGCACCTACTGTTGAACTCGCAACTTCGCTAATATACGATCCTGCAATTACCATCATGGCAAACATTCCCGTTTATGTCCTCCCGGGTAAAATGAAACCTTGTATATTTAAGAGTTGTTACACGCATAAACTTTCATTAATATATACGTATGTTTGCTCGCGTTAACAGCCTTCGCTTAATAGCTTAATATTTACTGATTTGAAACGATATCGGCGAAGTTATTTAGGTAATTAGGTGCCGTATTCAATCAATTTATGATTTAATTCAACATTCTATTTTATAATCTTCGATTAACAATGTTAGTATACCTTTGTAACGTATTTATGGACTTAATATATAGATATGAATGTTTATTTTTCTTGTTATCTATAGATCGAATTCTAAATAGGTACCATAAATTTTATATATCAGAAACTGTTATAAGAAATATTGTTCACCTGCTTTTTAGTTCGCTAACAAAGCACTTTTTGAGTAATCAATCACAGATATTAAAAAATATCTAAGAACAAGGAAAAATATTGAATTGTTTTTGGAAACTGACAGACAATTGCAACATAATGCGTTATGAACGCTCTTCACAAATGATAAATTGTTTATAAACGTAGAAATTCCAACAAGCACTATCCTTTATCTATGTTTATAAACTTTTTTTTCTATTGTAATATAGAATTAAAACTTTTTTTTATTTATATTATCCTCAATCTATGATTTATACGTAATAAATTTTCGTTTTGATCTTAGTGAGTAATGACTTACATAACATACTGGTTATTTACTCTGTAGTTTTGGCGCGCAATTACTACTGAGTACTGAGCGTGTACCATAAAATGAAATTCCGAATTTTTAAATTTAATTTCGTGTTTTTTTTATACCGATATCAACGCAGTAAATGTAACTTAACATTTCGTTAATCATAAATCCTACCATAAAAATGCAAAAGACAATATTTTAACATTCTTAATATTTTTAAATAGTATGTATTATATAATTATAACATCAAATTTGTATTTCGTTTGCCCCGAACTAGCCTGATAAAAATATATAATAATAGATTTTCATGTTTTTACTTATTGCATTCCGCTGTTGAGGTGTAAGCAACAGTGTCCCTCTTAAAACATCACCAAAGGCCAAACAATGGTTGCCAACCCACCTACCAAACGAGGCAACTACTGGCAAAACCCTCCTTATGAAAAAGGCTATGTTCAGCAGTGGACGATTAATGGCTGATACAGCATACAACAATCAATAAAAAGGGAAAGCTACGGCTAGTTATTTAACAAAATTTCTTTTATATGCTAAACTCGATGAAAACAACAGCCATGTCGGACTTCAAAACAATGGACATGCAAACAAACAATTTCCAAGGTCTCTCGTTTGCAATAGAACAGCCTTCAACCGCCCCGGCTTAGATACTGTAATATTATGCACTTAGATATAGATGGTTACCTCGCATGTTTAGAACTCGTGTCAGTTCAGTATGCGCCAAGGAAAACTGCCATGTTTTTGTTCGACAAACACACGAAATTATAAAATCAAGATTCATGTAATGCAAGACTGTGCTATTGCAGCGAAGTGGTTTAGGTTATTAAAAAAAAATTTAATTCGAAAACATTAGCAATTAGTGCACATTTTATATAAAGGGCCTTCAATAACAATTTATTTTGGTAATTTTTGTTATTATATTTACAAATACTGACTTTACTTGACTTTTAAACTTGACTTTGACTAGACTGATAAAAAAGAGCTAATTTTTTTTTCGAAATAATCGAAAACCAAAAACATTGTCTAAGGCGAATAAAAAGTGTACTTCTTATATGTGTCCACATTTAAAATGTATCAGGACTATTATTTTTTATTATATTTAATATACATACAGATACATTCTTTAACAGTCAACCTTTGAGAAGTTTAGAACACAGAGTACGTTACAAGGTAAGAACAAGGAATTACGGAATTAAGAAAATATTATACACCCGTATAACCCTATCAAATTTAGATACAACTTATTTGCATATTTTCTACATAAACTATGTCGAATATATAATCTAGTAATGTAAAATTTGTCATTGACAAATAATTGACATACATTTTCTATACACTAACCTGCTATGAATTGACAAAGTATAGCAACTGATGCTGTATCTTTCATTCTCTTTTTACTAATTATATTTGCATAAGAAGAAAGGAGGCAACCATATGATTGACAGTCTTTATTTTATCATTCCTTATGTATAATTCCTTGTTCTTAGGTTAAAAGTATACGTTATATAATATATATGAATACTTTTACATTATATTATATTCTTAAGTATGTTATACTATAGCAGTATTCAATAGCGGTATAGCATTACATATCATATATTCCGTTATTCAATTCTAAATTGCTATTAAAAAGAACGTTGCGCTTAAAAAAGTTTTATCCTATTTTCTTGAATGCTTTTAATTTCTCTTTAGCCACAAAATGGTTGACAATTAAATAATTCGAAAATAATCGCAAAATATCATACACTATTGTTATCTGCTACTAAATATTTAAATTATATTATTATAAGTTGTCAATTCGCCCGCCAAGCGTGGCAACTACTGACAAAACCTATGTTCAGTAATGGACAGTTAACGGCTGAAATGATAATTATGATGAATTATAAATTACCTATTAATTTTAAAACTATATTTCTTTTATAAATGATTCATTGATTTGTCGAAACCAAACAAGTTTTGACACCATCAAAATCCATCAAAATCAATTGACTATAGTCGTCAACAAATTAATTCTGATTCTTTATTACAGGCGGTACCTGAGACTATACGGGAGCTAAAAACATCGTTATGGAACGCCGAGGCCACTGGAGGAGCAGCCAACTTAACTGGCGCCCTCACTACAGCGTTTGAGATATTGCATCGGGTATAGTTTAGTTTCTTTATGTTTAATTACAATTAAGAATTAAATTATACAAATAGTTATATATGTAGCCATACTTTATAAAGCAACTTGTATATTAAATGCGATAAATCACCACATCTGTCCTTCATACGCTTTCTGTTTTTACCTAAGGGTTAGCTGGTTGAGAATGCCATACTCGTGTGGCATTAAGCTCGCCACTTGTACAAAGTTTTATTGTGCAATAAAGAATAAATAAAAAAATAAATTATACCCAATACTATATCGTTACCTATATAACTATTAATACTCGTAATATACACTCTTAATTATGGGAGTATTTATTATATAGGCTTGGTTATATAACTGCAGTGTAATTATAATTATGGCGCTCATAAATTCGGCGTCCCCGTATAATAAAATGGTAATTGCAAAACTCAACTTTTAGGAAAAATAAAAAACCGATTTTGATGATTGTTCGCCAACTAATATAATTTGAATGAAAATAAAAAGCTTATACGAAAGCTCTTTTTTATTTTAATTATTTAGAATTAAAGAAATTTTAATTTTGTATTTAAAATACAAAGATTCTCACAATTTAAATTTATTAATATTATTATTTATTTCAATTCATACATTAGCTTATCCAACAAATGTTATTTAGCTCCCTACCGATACCTACCGGGTATTATTTTTAATCGGGATGAAAATTACCCTATTTATCAAGTTGTAATAAATAATCCACAATTTAAAATTTCATCTAAAACGATTGAGCTGTTTTGGAGATTAGCGTGTACGAGCACTATGTCACGGGATTCTTATATAATTTTTGGTACATTTGTGTCGAATAAAATATTATTATAATATTTTATTCGACACAAATGTACCAAAAATTTATAATCTCTTGCCATATTATTTTATTTACTTTTTATTTTCCTTTACCTTTCATGAGACTAAAATACCTATATTACGTTCACTTTCTTTTCAAATGACTTAAAAAGAAGGAGGAATTCGGTTGTATCTTTTTTTTTATGTTTATTACCTCAACTCCTTCAGTTCTAAATCTATTTGGATAATTATTTTTTTATCTAAAACGATATACTTACAGATTAGCCCTATAGAAATTTTATCAAAATCAGTTCAATAGTTTAAATTTTAAACCAAAATAACCAATTTAGACACAATTGAAGTAGGTTTTTTTGTGCGACACAATCTTTAATTATTTATGATTGATAAAAGTGTTAATATAACCTTAGATATTAAACAGAATAGGTTTCTGTGTTGTTGAATTGTAGTGGTGTTCCACAGTATAACCGCACCGGTCAGGGTTGCCAGTGCAACCAGGCGATCGCAGTGGTGGGCGCGGGTGGCGGCGCCACCGGTGTAAAGGCAGTGTTCCGCACGTGGAACTGGCCGCATATGCCTGTGCGGATATTCACGTACCGCGTGGGAGGTGACGCCGCTGCCGGGCACACTATGAAGGATATGGCGTGCACCAATAAAGGTAATTAAATGTAATTGTAAAGAAAGAACTAAGAAACAGTGTACCTATAAAGAGTATAGTGAGCGTCACAGTATATTTTCATAGTCTTATGTATAGTACGAGGCTTACCACCAACTTCAGGCCATCAACTTGCTATTTCAAATTACATAAAAAAAGAAACCTTGGTGTTTCGTGTTACTCTGAATGTCTCAATCCATGTTAATAACTAAAATAGATAATTTGATTTCCTATGAGAAAATATTTGACTACTCAGTTTATAACAGAAAATTATATTCAGAATCTTGTCATACTTTTGTTACATTACTTAATTTAACATATTTATCTTGATTCATAACCTAATTACCTATATTAAAAATAATCCATAATCACACTTCCAAATACAGGGCACGTACTGTACTTTATTTACATATTATTGTACCAGATACAAAATAATTACATGTAAAAGGCAGTTTAAAGCTTTACCTAAATAATAAACAGGTTTCTACGTAAGCATCAACGAGCATTCCGAGATCCGCGGGAAGGTACTCCACCTAGTGGAAGTGCTGGCACGGCCGCTTGTCATGTACCAAACCGTACACCCGGTGCATTGGAGCCCTGCGTACGTCGGCGGCAGGGTTAGTCTTTGGAACATATCTTTGTTTTTAAATAACGACAGCCCATCAAAACAAATCAATCTTTTATTTTTATTATAATTCAGTTTCATTACATTACATTTAATTTCTTTTCATTTTGTTTAATTTTATTACATTTCGTTTTTTTTTTATTAAAATGTTTAATTGTTGCACTCATATAATAAGAAAAAAAGAGTCTAATCTAATATTATCATGTTGGTAAGACGGTTTCATAATTTGAATTATGTTCTTATTTCAAAATTTTATTTTTATTATACTATTTTTATTTTTCTACACGTCTAGTTTCTAGTATATGGAGTAGTAAGACACCTATCATATATTTACTCCCTCACCATACAGAATTTAAGTGCACCATTAATATTAAATAACATGTTAATATTAAGATAAACATGGACAAAACTAAAATCATGTCTAACGTCTATATCACTACTACACCGGTTACGATTGAGAACACTACGCTCGAAGTTGTCAATGAGTATGCATATCTGGGACAACTTGTTCGTCTAGGTAGGTTCAACTTCGACTGAAAGGTCAATCGACGAATCCAACATGCCTAGACAGCGATCGGAAAACTACGCCATATCTTCTCATTCAAAATATCTCAAACTTAGAAAATAAAGGTCTTTTGCCAGTAATGATCTACGAAACTAAAACATACTCCTACACGATTGCCCGTATGAAAAACCATTAAGTTACTCAGCAAGCTATAGGAGAGGGCTATGCTTGTTGTTTCTTTGCGTGACAGAATGCAAAATGAAAATATCCGCAGAAGAACCAAAGTGACATACATTGCCCGAAGGATAAGCAAGCTGAAGTGGTAATGGGCTGGTCACAGAACCAACAACCAATAGTGAAGAATGGTTGAGTGGCGACCTTGTACGGGCAAACTCAGTGTAGGACGACCTGCCCCTAGATAGAGTCCTTCATGACCTCAAATGCATCTATGGATGCAGGTGGCTTAGGCAGTCTATGGGGGAAGCCTATATTCAGCAGTGAGCAGATATGATGATAATTAAATGACAAATCACAAAAATCCATCAATTTTCACCATGGAACACGGGTTTCTTTCTCATGAAAAGCTGGCATAAGCCTAATTACTGGTCATGCAGCGTCGTAAAGAATTATATTTGTAATATATTGGTAACATTATCCTTCTTATGTTCTTAATTTGAAGGGCGAAATAACACTATGAAATTCCTATCTACCAATAATATATACTAACATTATATTAAAAAATATATTACAGAGTAGCAGCCTTTCTGATGACGGTATGGGACAACTGATGACCTCTGTCACAGTTCCAATATTCGACAGGAGAAATCACACGGTACGTAAAAGATTATAAATTAACTGGTAAAAATTAATTATATACCTTTGTTATTTTTCCTTTACAAATTAAAACAAAAAATATATTTTTTTTTCATAATACTTTTATAAGAAACAAAATTTACTTACCTTGATTTGTTGAAGCATAAGGATTTCTGTTCTAAATGTATAAATAATAACAAATACGAGTACATATATTTTTTTAAACTTCCTTTAGCTTTATATTCGTGTTATCGATCATGTATGCCTATATATGTAGCTTTATAGATTAATATTAACTTTTAGCCTCGTGTCCCATAATTTATGGTCTATAAGAGAGGGGAATTAACGCGAACATTGAAGTTAAATAATATTAATATTGCAAGGTAATTAATAATAAAGTAATGAATTACTTATTGTTTCAGCAAAGGGAAGCAAATTTGCTGGGCGCTGTGGGGACGGATGTCCCCATCGATCAAATAAAGAAGCTCGTGCCACCATATAAGGTAACTTTTTGATTACTATTAAATACTTATATTTATTGTTCTAACAATAAGGACGATTCTGAGGCGTCAATTTTTACATTATTTCAGCCGTTAACTATCCACTGTTGAACATAAGCCTTCCCCATAAGGGGAGTTTTGCCAGTAATTGCCACGCTTGGCAAGCAAGTTAGCAACCACAATTAGGCTTTTACAGATGTTTTAAGAGGGACGCTGCTACCCATCTCCAGCATAAGCTCCCTTAGTCGCCACTTACGACACCCATGGGAAAGGAAGGCTGTCTCATTTTATTCTGGGACCGACACGGCGAATAATTTAATAATTGGCGAGACGCCAATAATCAAAACTGATCTCTTTATATAATAACTTATTTAATCGGGATAGATAGATTTATTTATTTTAATTTGACGGCATTCACAGCATTACTGTTTTATATGTACCTGTTTGGTTTACAATTAATAATCTAATGTTGAATGCTAAAAAAAAACAAAATGCGTAAATTTTTGTCTGTCTAAAAATAACGATTCCAATTATACTATAAAATAAAATAAAATAAAGAACCTCTTGATTTTATAGATTCTACTGTCTTCCTTGGAATCATTTCTGATAATAAAACTCAATAAGAGTTTTATTATCAGAAATGATTCCTCTCACGTTTCCTTTTTCGATTCCTCACGTTCAAGACCTTGCAACTAAATTAAGAAATTTTAATTTTAAAGATAGATTTAAGGAAATGACGCCTCAGAATCGACTTCCAATGTTTTAAAGTATAGTCTGTCTTAATAGAGGTTAATGAAAAAGTAACCAAGTTATGTTGAACTTATCACAAAAACACACTGAAACTTTTTGATTTATACTATTATTGGGCATCAACACGTTGTCTATGGTCGCTTCTATTGTACGTTAATATACATTTTTATTAAGTTGTACCATAACACTCACCTACGCTTATTATTTCCAGCTCGGAGTCAATGGCTATTCTTTCATGGTGGATAACAACGGGCATGTTTTGTATCATCCGGATTTGCGACCTCTGGTAAGCATAAAACTGGATACTGAATATTTACTAAAGTATTTATTTAAAAAAATCATTTATTTCACATAAATGATAAAATTAATTTTTCTTCCAATGAAATTAATATGAAGATATTTTTTGTCATTTTTTAATTCATGCCTTTTTAGGATATATTTAGTTTCCTCTGGTTCTAGATTATATAGATAGAGTGTCTCCATAGAATTGCTTCGAGAAAAACGGGTCAACTTTATCATACAATTTCGCGTGATAAATAGATGATAGTGATTCCTTTATAACTTCTGTATTTATTTTATCTTCTAACTTCTGCATATTTTTAATACGTAAACACTTTGCATTGTTTTTCTTTGTTTCAGTATACTAACGAGGAAGTAAGTAAAAGAAGTTTCCTAGAAAAATGTATAAAAATATTATTCATAACTAGAAGTTATGTTGTTGAGGATTTCTAATAATTTAGAAGTAAAATTGCTGCACAAAAAAACACCGACTTCAAACGTATCAAAACCAATTATTTTGATTTAAAAACTTAACTACCGAACCGATTTGGATATAATTTCTACGCGACCAACCTGAAAGTTAATTTTTATCCTATCTGATAAAAAAAGAATTTGCAAATCGATCCTTAAATGACAAATGATTAGTAATTATAATTTATGAATGAACTATAACAAACAAACAAAATACAACTGAATTGAGAACACCCCTTTTTCTGAATTCGTTTGAAAAACTCTTCTATTCAAATTAATTAATAACAACGAAAAAAAAAGAAACTTAAAATTTTTTATAACAACAAATAATATTTTACTATTTTGTAGCCATAGTTTTTAGAGATTACCCATCTATAGAATACTAACATGCATTCAAATATATAATTTAATATTTTAAATTTCTAGTACACAGAAACTCTACGGCCATTGTACTCTAGTGTGGACCTAACCGACGTCGAACTGTTAGTGGACTCTGACGAGAATTCTCGTGTTAACCTCACGTCTCTGCTGCTCGATGTGAGTATTTTTTTCCATTCTTTTACATACATTTTCTTTCTTTATTATTAACCGTTTCTTTTTTTATAGATATATATACCTACCGTATTTGAGATATTTTTCATCTCAAAAAAAAATTATATTAATCTTTTAACTAGTTATGGATGCTGGAATTGATCATAAATAATCATAAATGATCACCGTCCGGTTTTTTTTTTCTAAAATGTATAATAAAAACAATAATGTATAATTATATATATAAATATATTTATTGATTTATTCATTAAAATAATTCATTCAATTAAAATTATTCATTAAAATAATATCTATAAAAATTATATCATGCCCAGTATTTTATGGTCCGGTTATAAATACATAGGTGTTTAAATTCTAATCATGATATCCTATCAGGCTTTTTTTACAATATTTTATGTTTTCTCTATAAGTAGGTATATGCAATGGCTATAAATAAATTTATAGATTTCATATTATTATCTTCAGGATAACCTAACTAGTGTAAACGTTCCTATCTAGTTCAAAACTAGTCCATAAAACTGAAGATAATTACCTACGTGATTATTTGACCTTTGAAATTGATACATATATCTATTGGCATCTTTGAGTCATCATAATTATTATTACAAAACAATTCTAGCTCCGACACGACATGATAGAGCAACGAGAGGGTGAGACAGAAATCGGAGTTAAAGTTCAATACGACAACATGAGGAGGGTGGCCACACGACGTCAGAGGTACTTCTACAGCCCAGTGGACGGCACGCCGTTCTCCCTGGCCGCGGTACTACCAGATGGATACGGCATGTACGAGTTGCTAGCAGAGCAGGAGGTCAAACATAGCGTCATAAATGGTAAGAATTTTAAATGTAAACATTTTTTGTAATAAAATCACCATAAATATTATGTTCATGGTACTGCTCATGTCTATAGGCGACGGTTACCACTTTCTATCAGGTGGGTCGTTAGCCTGTTTGCCATTCTAAGTTGTATAAAAAAAATGAACAACACATAATTGAATAAAATATAATCAATATATCATATGAAATCGAAATCATTAGCACCCAATAGTGTTTTACTGGTGAAACTAAACAGTTTTCCTAAGGAAATAGAGGTAGAAGGAGAACAAAAAACTTTGAACGTTACGAACGTGCCGTGTTAATATTCAATTTCATTGGTAGAACAAATTTTTTTATCCTCAAAATATTTACAAGATTAAAGAATTTAACCTCCCTACTATACAATATGAATCTAATCCTCATCTTTCAACTATCCGGGCTCTCGACTATCAGGACTACTCAAAATAAAAAAAAAATGTTGTCAACACATCTGATAATAGTCGATAGTCGTCAATATATTAGTTAATTGAATTTATTTATTTTCATGCAGTCACCGAATATTTTAAAGGCGACAATTGGAAGATACATCCTGATTGGTAAGATACACATGTAACGTAAATAATATGAATTGACTATCACTTACACCAAATATACTTGATATTTAATTTTGGAATACAGAAATTTGTTTGTCTTAGGAAAGACCTCTTAAGACAAATTTCTGCCCAACGGAGTTTACGTGAACTTGATTTCTTTAGTCTACTCATAGGTCGTATAGTCCACAGAATATAATTCATTTATGCATAGTCTAAATAATTAGAAAATAGGAACTACCTAAGCCTAAGCTCAAGCCAAAGTAATGAAACTCTTAATACACCGCCATTTACTCTCTCTGTTTAGCATAACGGATGACTATGCCATAAACAAAACATAAACATTACAGGGTGTACTGTGAATACGCATCAACGTCCGAACAAACATTTAACTCTCCGGAGGAACAACTAGTGCACTTCTTGTCGCGCGCGGGCCGCCCCGGCTGGAAATGGATGTCGCTTCGGCCGAGGGCGCTCATGCTTCACAACGCTCACAAGAAGCAAGACCGCGACTCTTATTACTGTTAGTAAACCTTTACTAATACATGTTATAAATGTGAAAATGTGTTTATTACCTCTTGGCGCCTTAATAGCTCAACTAAGTCCTAAACTGCATATCAATACATGTCATATTTGCGATGAAGAAGAACATAGACCAATTTCTATCATGCGAACAAAGTAGCAGTATAAATAGGGTTTTATTTCAAGTTTACATTCTTTTGCATTCATATATTTTGACTACTTCCCTTAATCGCCTCTTACATCCTAAAAATGAAAAGGACTGGTCACATAGGGAAGGAATAACTCCGATAATGGAAAATAAAATGTTGTTAACAAATAAGCAATAAGCAAAACCCTAGAGGGAAACACTAGTAGAGACATGTAGAACTGGCCGAAAAGTTGAAGAACGCCTTGGAGACCAGAGCATATATTTTTTAAAATGATCCATTTATTAAAAAGCCATCTATTTGTTTAGTTATCCAAATAGGTGATATAAAAACGCTAACATCGAAGCGTTATTATTTTAAATTTACAATAACCAAATTATGCATTTCCTTCAGGTGACAAAACTTTAGTTCAATCGCTTATTCGCGATGCTATGGTTATAAAAGAACTGGACGCACACACTGGACACGCCAGCCATCATTCTCAGTAAGTTCAAATATTAAAATATTGCATGTCTATCGCACAAACAATAGTGATATTCAATATTAAAATCCTACAAGAATTACACTAAAGGAAAAAGAATAAAACGATGCAGTTTAAAATGAACCGGATAAGATTGCCACTGAAAATTATATATTATTGCATGATATCAATAAAGCACTAAATGTCTTCAAAGCTTTTAACGCACTGTCTATGTCGATCACTAATTTATTTGTATTTGTCACACAAATAGCCCGATAGCAACTTTAATGGCACTTCTGACAAGGTAACGTAACAAGAATCTTGATAATGATTCAGTAGATGTCTTAGTACATACTGCTAAATGATGAAGTAATTACGCTAAGTCGTTATTGCGGATAAAAATATCTGATAAGTGTTATTGATTTTGCAAATATCGTACAAAATGTATCTTGTAATTACTACTATTGCACGTGTGAGGGTGACGCCCTCTACTGTAAAGAAGTTTTACGCAATGATAGTTATACACAAAGGCCTCTGAAGTAGCTTACTGAGTTAAACCGTGGCCACTGAAACACAAGGCCAATAATAATCAATTACTAAATAATCTAAATATGATTTTGAGAATAAGGACGGGTATTCGATCAGGATGAAGTTCATATCAAGCGTTGTCTGACTAAACTGTCATTTACGTAGCAATTTTAAATTGAATAATAAATTGTCAGAAAAGAACAATTGATTCATAGACAATTTATAAGTGTATAAAATAAAGCTATAAACATAGGTAATTGAAGAAATACTAAAAGAGAATTCACAATTATAAATCTCCTACAATTATAAGTGCTACATATAATTACTAGTAATACATATAAGTAATGTTTATCATAACAAAATGTTATCTAAGTTTACAATACTTTTAGACTAATAAAGCTGTCCGGGAGAAAGGTAACTATGACATAAATGAAACTACTAATACATTTTTTTAGCTGCCATGGATTTTTAGCTCACACATGGATTATATTGCACAAACAGTTAATGCACATAAATGGCGAAAAATCTCATTTCAAATAGAAACAGTAACTAAATATTACGAAGGCATTAAATGTTATTTTTTATATGCATAACATTCTAAATAAACTACAAATATGTACTAAACGTTAAAATACAAATGTTACATGATTTCTATTTTCTTTAGAAAATATAAGGCTTCAATTTAGTCATAAATTTATATTAATAACAACCATTTTTTTTATACAACTTAGAATAGCAAACAAGCTAACGGTCCACCTGATGAAAAGTGGTAACCGTCGCCTATAAACATGAGCTGTACCATGGACATAACAGAGTATACTGTTTCGCCCATGATACCCCCCATGCGTTGCCATTCCTGAGGACTCAGGTGTTATTCTTCTGTACCCAGTAAATTCACGCCATATCCCACCCTTCAAACCGAAACACAGCCATGTAAACACAACTGCTTCACGGTTGAAACACGAATGGGACAGAGGTACCCAAGCAATCGACTTTTGTACAAAGTCTCCCTCTGGTAAACCTACTACCCGAATACACTTATGAAACTTACTTTAATGTAATAACTACCAGTTTAACCTACTTGTAATTAAAACGAGAAAGCTCAACTAGTTTTGGAATCAATTCATGGCCGCTCATGATTAAGGGTTATTTATTTATTTACACTTTATTGCACTACGGTTACGGGTTACGAATTTAATTACACGTAAGTTAAACCGGTAGTTCTTTTATTAAAATATAATGTATGCTTACGAAACTTTTAACGATGAAACTTATTAAATCAGGTTTACCAGAATTATTATGAGATTTTTCAAAAAGTATGTGCATTAGCTATTTTAATCATTATTATTATTAAAAACTATGTTATTCATTTTACCATAATTAACTTTAAAATGTACATCTAACATTTTCTATAACCACGCAACACATATCTATCACCACTTCAGAAACCAAACTGAGAATCTTGAAATATGATCACGCTATAGAATTACGAGTACATTAATTAAAGATGCTTGAAAATTGAAAATGATGTGTATTGTGGTAATATCAATAAGTAATACCAGATCATGTCAAAAATCTTCATTTAAAATTATAAGACTCAATAGGTGACGTGACTCGATAGACTGAAAAGAGCCAAGTTAAAAGTACTCGTAACCAATAAGCGTGAATTAATGAATTGGCAAATATGCAAGAACCATTTGACATTTCTTTCGTTCCATCTTTATGGGAGCCATACTCGACGCCTGTGTATGGAACTATTCAAAAATGTATTTTTAAATAATTACCTAGTTTATTATAGAGATTAGGTTATAAAAAAAGTTGACTAGCAAACGCAATGTTATTAAATTTTCTATAGTGCTATTAAATTATTATCTTAAAGCCACAATAAATTCTTATGATGTTTAACATTTAATGTCTTTACAGGCAAGGTCGGTTCCACAAGTTCGTCGTTACGCTGTCGTTCATCGCGACACGGAGCGGTTTACTCAAGTGGACTGAGAACATGAATAATTCGAGGAGTTCCGACTCAGCTGAACAGTAAGTATTTCTCCTTTACATTATTATATTTTTGCCATGTGGTCCCAGCATAGAATAGCCCATCCCTTTCTTTCCCGCCGGTGTCATAAGAGACAACTAAAGGAACTTAATGGTTGAGTGATCGGCAGCAGCGTCCCTCTTAAAACATTACCAAAAGCCTAACTACGGTTGCCAATCCACCAGCCAAGCGTGGCAACTACTTACAAAACACCTTTTACGGAGAAAGCTTATGTTCAGTGCACAGTTAATGGCTGATGTAATATTAATAAAAAAAAATACAATAAAAGGGTGGGGTATTAACCAAGGAAATTACAGAAAACTCTATCAACAGTAAGTATAATTATATTACACCTTTACAGGCACTTCAGCGAAAAATACGCTCGAGCTTTCGACTCGGAATGGTACCGACGAGCAGTGGAACATCATGCCATAGAACCCGAGAGCTTCGTCTTCTCGGTGCCGTTCCGTGATGGTTCAGAGGCTGAAGACTTGAGTGGAAGACCCCCTCTAGTTCTTGCGACCCATGCTGTATTCGTAGAATCAAGAGGCCACAGGGCAGCTGCCGCTGTCGTTGGATTACACTTCCAGCTCGACTCGCTTGCGAAACATTTTCTGAACGTTACATCAACGGTATGAATGTTTTATTAAACTACCCAAACCTTCGTTTTATTTTTATTTAGTTTTTATTCTATACTGTTTATTTAACTTACAGTGTACAGCCGGTAGTGTCTGTAAAAAAACCTGCGCAGGAGACGAACTAGACTGCTACATATTAGATGATAACGGTTTCATCATCCTATCCGAAGACGTGTCTCAAACAGGGCGATTCTTTGGACAAGTCGATGGCACTATCATGGACTCATTAGTTCAAGATCGTATATATAAGAAAATCACGGTGCATGATCATCAAGGTCGATGTCCGGACTCCAGAAATCCTTTTAGTGGCGGCGTCAATAAATTAACGGTAATTATTATGAAATGCTACATGCATCTTATTATAGTTTAGTATCTTATCATTATCTTAGTATAGCGCTAATATATTTCGTCATACGTAATAACTTCGGCACAATTTGTTTTAGCCAATGAGACCATTTTCTTGGATTGGGAGTTATCTCGCCAATTTATTAGCCGTTTGGTTCCCAATATGGGAATCGGTGAAAGCAAGAGCACACCCATACGCTGAAGAAGAAATAGGTAAGTAGGTGGCATTAACTTTTAAAACTTCTTCATTTCATTCTTCGAAACACGCTGAGACAGGAGACGCTCATACGCTTCGATTCAAACCTAGCATGTTTGACCGAATCGTTTGTCTCGAGGACTCTTAACATGAACGCTGATTTTGTAATCGTCATTCTTAAATATTTTACTACTATTTCGTACAATATTTAACTGTTCACACTTTTATTCGTGTAAAAAGCAGATTATGAGGACTACGAAAACGAGGATTCTGAAAATGAAGAAGACTTGGACAGAGACAGGGGCACTTACGAGATAATTATCGACGGGATCGGAGGCAGTGGAAGTAACAGCGGGAACGGGGATGCAGAGCCGACGCGCGGGGGTAATGGTGGAGCTGGCGGGGGCAACGGGGGTACGCCCCGTGAGCCCCCACGAGAGGCTGCACGTTCAGCCGCAGTACGGCCCTGTGACACCAGCGCTGAGCTGTTTACGCTGCAAGCCACTCGATTGAACGCTGCACAGCCACTGAAAGGGAAACTTACCAATTGTCACAACTCTGGGTGTGAAAGGTAAGTTAAATAAATGTAATATAACTATCATTAATGCCAAATAAATAAATATGACTTTCATTAAATTGTAGTATCTGTATAGGCAATAGTAGAATATTCTAAAGTATTCTTGCGTTATTTTACAGCATTCATCAAACTTTTGGTATCTTATTTTTGCATAATTCTACCTGGTTTTATACTCTAAACATAGATATGGATTTAAATAGGTGTCTAAGTGGACTTCGGATGCAAATTTTTGAAACCAGCTAATCTTAAAGTATATAAAAAAAAACCTTTCAAGATTGGTAACATTTGATTTGTTATCAATAACTTTATAAAACAAATACTTAATTTTCATATAAATTGTTGCACCTACTTTTTTTTTATACAACTTACAATGGCAAACAAGCTGACGGCCCACGTGATGGAAAGTGGCAACCGTCGCCTATAGACATAAGCAGTACCATAACATATATACTGACATAACAGAGTATACTGTTTCGCCCACGATACCCCCCATGCGTTGCCATTCCTGAGGACTCAGGTGTTATTCCTCCGTACCCAGTAAATTCACGCTATATCCCACCCTTCAAACCGAAACACAGCTGTTTCACGGTTGAAACACGAATGGGACAATCTCCCTCCGGTCGTCGTTCTCCACCTACGGTTGTAGTTGTTTTTATCGTGTTGACACATGCGGCGTGCGCGCAGGCCGTTCAGCGTGCAGAAGATCCAGCACAGCAACCTGATCCTGCTGGTGGTGGACACGCTGTGCCCGTGCGGCGCCAAGCGGCTGGACGTGCGGGCGCGCGAGGCGGCGCGCGCGCCGTGCGGCCGGCCCGCGCCGCGCCACCACCGCCGCCGCCCCGCGCACTGCCTCTCCTACCACCCGGAGGTAGCGCATCTATCTAATAACAATTTAAAACAATATTTTTTTTTACAACACAGGGGGTCAACGACCATGCGGCTCACCTGGTGGTAAGTGACTACCGCCGTCCATGATCACCCCCAACACTAACGGCATTGCAGGTGTACTGCCGGACTTTTAGAAAGGAATATGCTCTTTTCATGAAGGTTATGTTGTCGTATCGGTTCGGAAATACTGCTGCTGGAAGTTGATTCCAAAGAGTGGGTGTGCGTGGAAGAAAGTGCCTCGAAAAACGCACGGTGGAGGACCGCCACTCGTCCAGATGGTTGGGATGAAATTTTAGTTTGTGGCGGGTTGTACGATGGTGAACATCAGCAGCAGGTATCATTCCGAACAATTCCTCAGAGCACTCCCCATGGTAAATTCGATAGAAGATGCACAGAGATACAACATCTCTACGCAGTTTCAGTGGGTCGAGCCGGACAGTAAGGCGCAAATCGTCAACAATTCGAGCTGCCCGACTTTAAATATATATAATATATATGTTATGTAGAATAATCTATTTATATAGACAATTTAACTATGTAATTCTAACTTTACATGGTATATGATATATCCTTTAGCAATATAAAGGTTGTAAGCCTCTTAGTAATAAATAGAAATGAAGCACAAGTTCACTTAGTTCATTTAATTTAGATATCATTCTATAAAACCATATATTTACTTATTTTACTTTGTATTTGATATATAACAAATAATATAACATAAATACCCAACTTCTGTTAATCCATTGACACTTATTTAACTATAGTTTCTTTAGGATTCCCATCAGCAATAATTGTGATATATTTTATATAATGACCACATGGTTTACTATACTTGTTCACTCTTGATACTTTAATTTTAATACTTTATTATATTTAATGTAGTTACTTTAATTTTTATTAATAAATGTAGGTACACATTTTGACATAAGATGTTTAAGAAAATTAATATAATTTAAAATAAATATCTAACACACGCGCCGCACACACACACACACACACAGGGATGCAAAAACTGGGGGGATAATGGAATGTTGGGGATTAGTAGCCCCAATATTAGCAATACACACTGTCACGTCGATCTTCTCGCGGTTCCCTCTGAAAAGTATCATGTTATATTCCATGTGAATCCATGACGATAGGCTAACTGACCTGCCTTTTCATTATTACCTGTCATCCCTCACTGGTGCCCCGCCAGCGTATATCCATTCCATTGTCATGCATTTCAAAAAGTACTTAAAGCTATACTTACACATAAATAGTACGCGCGACCATGTACCCAGCCGTGTTCTTTTTTCACTTTTTTCTTAATTCGGAGTTTTTACAATAGATGAAACATAATTATAACTCTGCACTTTCGGTTTATCCCCTGTAACCGATTCCCTTCGAATTCCCCAGAAATGTTTAATCGCAAACATTTCTGGGGAATTCCGCGTGAATATCGACCTAACTGCAATATACCCTATAATCTGCTAATCAGATCGCTAGTCTCCAGTACAAACAATTGACGAAATAAACATTTTTATTTTATACATTACAGGAAATAGAAATCCAATCGTGCGGACGCGGCGGCCGAACACAACCATTGCTGGCATTAGTTGCGGCGCTGATGGTACGGCTCTGGTTCAGCACGTGACTGCCGCAACAATAATTATAAACCCACAATCAACCCCAGGGTCCGCGGCGGGCCCCGAACACGATCAACGCGAAGCTTTCCAATGAATCCCTGTATTGTCTAAGTATGTTAGTAAAATGAATGATTTTGAATGTCACCTACCCCCTTAGACCTAGCAAACGAATCTATCGATAGACACGTCGTTATCCCTTGCATGAGATGGAACGAGACTGCGACATCCGGCGTCTCGTTCTTTCTCATGCGTACACTAGCACAAATGTATCCATCAATACATTAATTTGCTAGATGTCTAAGCGGGTCACGAGGGAAAGCTTCAAACGCGGCCGGTCGTCGTTCAAATGTTCGAGCGTCGTGTGAGTGTGGAACTGTTTGTATTCAAGTGTGCAATAAATGTTGATAGTTGCGCTATTGGGTAAATAGAATGTGGCGCCTCGTGCTCGCCACTTCCATAAGGGCAGGTTTACATTATCAGTTATTGTCTTCAATCTCGACAGTGGTCAGTGCAGACTCGGTATTAACATCAAACAAGTTGGTTATATCAGTACAGTGCTATTGCATCAGTATTGACATATTATTCCTGTTCCACCATACAAATATCTATAATCAATACATCTATACTACGTATTAATACGTACTAGTAGATACCTATACTTTATCGCACGTATGAGAAAGAATAAAATGCTGAACTTTGCTGTATCATTCCGTTTCATTAATACGAAAATATATATATATATACGGAGAAATTTGTTTAACACTTTATGGATTTTGAATTGTCATCTAACTTCCAAACGTTCTGGCTGACTGTAATAACGTTCGTAGGTTGAAAAAAAATAAAAAAAAAGTAAATAGTGTATCAGTTCTTGACGCCACTGATGCCTTTAACTGACTCGATCTAAAGCTGCCTTTATTGGTACACGTGCGAGCACTATAAGAGTTTTGATCAATTTACCGACTGAAGTTTTGGTCCGACCAAATGAACTTTCGATCTTGTTTTGATACAGGATTATCTATTCGAATTAGGATACGATAAAAATTAAAATATTTCCCCCTCTCTGTTAAGTTGTCGCGTTTCATATTGTAACTAATGCAAATGCATACAGTAAATAGGTAGGTAACGAATATCTTGTTAAATTTAAATTGAAGATTATCACAAACTTGGAGATCGTATATATTATAGCTAATGTTAATAAGTATTGAAAAATAATTAATGTAAAAATAATATCGTTTGAAAACTGTTTTAGAAAAATTTACCTATGTTGAACCTAACTCGATTTGTTTCTTGTCTGACATTCGATTAATCGCAATCTTATTGAATAGTTGCATAGTGTTGATGTAAATAAGAAATGTTTTATTTGTAGGTAATTGAGTTGCTGAATTTATGTGTGCCTGTGCAATTATTATGTGAAGTGGTATCGTACAGACGGGTGTCGCGATCACTACAAATACTGTACTTAACAATAGAAGAACTAATAAATAAATATTTTGTATAATAAAAACATACAGTGCACAATGAATGTAACGAAAAATTCTGTGTAACGTAAGTAAATATTACACGACTTTGGTTGCTTTGCAGTATGCTACATAGTGGGTACCTATAACGCCTACTATGTAGCAAAAAACACTCTATATCACAAAGTTAAATTCCTTTAAGGTGTAACGTAGTTCTCTTCCACCAAGAATTAAAAATACACTACAAATTTAAAAGAATCTTCTACAACGTATTCCATCAATTCCATTTGATAATTTTCATTCCAATCAATTTAAAAAAATAATAAAATTGTTTCTTGTATAAAAAGGAGATTAATAAAGTAATATTTATTACTTATGGTATATTGAGTGGAGAAACACCGTTACATTGAAACTGTAAACAAATATTTGTAAATAGTTCTTCTCGAGTCGCGACACCGATCCCAATTCGACTACTCATTTGTCTAGTTGTTAGTGATTTTTCTCGCCTAATCTTCGAATAATGTCGTATTGGACGAACTGTAAACAGTTTCGTGTTTTTATTGTAAATATTTTACTAACTTTAAATGGCCTATTACGATTTATAAGAACGTGTGTTGCTAATCGTTTTGTCGTTCAATTCGACTTCTGTGGTAATAACTACGTCATATCGACCTAATGCAATTGTTAATAATTTGCATATCATGTTCCTTGACCTTTTCTGGGCCTAGATTCATAGACATAACAATCTACTTTCATACTTGTTTGTTTGGATCTAAACCAAAATGTGAATGTTACATAGAATTAATTCAAATCCATGTACTACATAAATGAATAACATTTTGTACCATATCGAATAGGCATAATATAGTATGGCATGCTTGCTGTTGTCCGTTTGACGTCATATCATACGAACCATTGGTAAATTTATCTACGACAATGTTTTGAAATAGTACAAAAATATTATAATGGTTATTTAATTAGATGTTGAGTGCCAAACCACAGTATTTGTTTCACGATACACACATTTTATTACACGGGACCGATAGTTTATGTACCTAAGTAGGACAATAGCAAGCTTGGAAATGTATCGAATAGTAGATTGGTCACAGTAGTCTCTGAGCAAACAAATAGACCTGAATTATACGAAGAATTTATGGTCCATAATACATAGCAGAAATTAATATTGTATTCTCAAGTGATTATCTGCACATAGGAAACTTATATTACAGAAAAAAAAGATATAAAAAAGTATAAAGAAGAAAATCTACCGTATCATTTACAAATTAAGTGAATATATTTATATAACACTTATGTGACGACTTATTGACTTTTTTCTGTAAGTCACGTAATTACATGGGCCCATGTGCATTGTAGCATGCAATTAAATATATTCTATATGGGTGGTCACTTGCGGGTTCTTCTAAGCACAAAACATTCCGAGCCCTGCAGTAGAATCTTAAAAAATGGCGATTTAAAACAACCATTTCAATTAAGATTATTTCTATTCTATTCTAAAAAAAAGATTACATTTTATATAAGTTAAGTTTAATTTATGATACTACATATTAGTGTTATTTGCCAGTGTCTTCTCATAATAGTTATTATGAGAAGTTATTATGAACTTGCAAATAATACATTATATAAAAGCCTTTAGTGACGACTTCATTATGACCGCGAAATTTACAAGCAATGCTGTGGAGATTACTGTTGCCAATTAACTACATATCACCTAATCGTAACATAATCAGTGTCGTAATTAATACATATTCACAAACTGTAAAACAGTATCGTTGGGAGGCGCTTTTGAGTAATTGTACATTTTGTATAAATACAGTAAGGAGTCGATATTATGGCGTAGGAGATTGTTTTAACTGGTGAGTGGCGAACGACTGGTAATGTATTGAAAGTGCTTCTTGTAAGCGTCGAGTCTTCCATAGCAGTCGAACGCGCAGGGCGAGTGTTTACTGTAACGTTTAAGTATTAAATGATAATAATAGCGTATACTTATCATAGAATAGGCGGATCTCGACTCGTGCGGTGTGCAAATATTTTTAATTGCACTTCGCGGGTTTAGTTTATAACTGAATAGACACAAAACAAATACCTCGTTTAGTTACTCAAAACATAATAGCTAGACACAATTAGCGTTTATTTCGCATTTAGTTCTGGAACATATCAATTCAGGCACCAAAGAGACTGTAGCGTAAGGGATATATTATTTTTCGGATTTTGTGATCTTTTATGTCAATTTAGTATAAAAATATCTTGACAGAACCTAAACTATATACAAATGGTCCACTGTATGTACGCACAAATAGCTAAAGGAGCGCCGTAATTTTCTCTATCGTACCACAACTGAATACGTGTGTATGAACATGAGCGCTCTGACGGTGCCTACAGAGGGCTGCTCGTATGTAGCTTAATCTCTGTAAGAATATTTATTCATGTGGTTATAGAGCGAGAAACACGTGGGCGCCAGTGGAACCAATGCCGATGTCTCGGCTTATATTCTGTAGGACGTGCAATAAATTAATATGAGACATGGAATCTTTCCCATATTCACTTATCTATTACAATTTTCTATAAAAAAAATCGATATTTATAATGTTTCCGTTTCTTCACAAAGTCGATCATACCTGTTAACGCTTTTAGGAGTATATTCAAAATATATGTACTTAAATACTTACATCGTGAAAATTTGAAATTATATTGAAACCAAATTTTGATGTCAGCGTTTTTATAAATTGTTTTCCATGTATTATTTAATTGATAATAATGATAATAGCCGGTATCGGGCACGGCCTGCTCTGTGGACATGGTTCTCTAGTGACATTAGTGAAATACTGTTTCCTTTCGTTACTTGCCAGTTCATGCTATAGATATACCGTAATTACAACAATAAAGTTCTCTTATAACATTGTGATCAATCGTTTCATTTGAAAATTCTATTATTTTTTATTAATTTTAGAATTATAAATAGTAGAAATATTTAATGTGCCTTCCACTGCGCCACGAAGGTTATTAAATCATAAAAAATAAAAGATATATGTAAATACAATGTATGTATTTAAAAGAATACATTAGTTTTGTTACATATAAAGACTGGCGGCGAACACTATGTCACGCTTGAGTAGTTTGATCGCTTCACTAAACTTATTTTCGAGATCTGTGTTGCCGATGTTCTTGGCTGCTTGACACAGCTGCCTCAGCATTTCTTCCAGACGCCGCATACATCTGATTATAGAACCTAGAAATAAATTTATAACTAGATAACATACAGGAATGAAATAAAAGCATAAAATTTTTGTTCAGACTTCATGAATACTAATGAATACAACAACCATAGACACATGGTATAGTCTTACATTAATTTTTAATCTTACACTATATGACTCTAAACACACAGGTTTGAATTCAGTGTAGAAGCAAATTAATAAATGACGAGCGAAGAATGAACGATGTTATTTTAGTAAAAATAAAAGAATTCACACAAAGCAAAAAAACTAATTAAAAAATTGTAGCGAATACAAGGCAGATGTTAAGCAAATAGCATATTGTGTACTATATGAAGTCCTGTCAAAATTATATTATTAATGATAAAATAAGCTAAAATAGCGTACCATAATTATGTGAGCAAAGTCTCAAAACAAAAAAAAAAGCCAATTTCAATCATAATAAAACCAGTCACTTTGATTTCTAAACAACTACTGAACTGATTTTCATAACATTTTATGGGATCAATTGAAAGTATATCTTTTCAGCTAAAAGAATAAATAAATAAAATAAATGGCAAAGTTCTGAGGTAACAAACAAAACAAAATAACCAAATTGAAAACCTTTCTGAAGTCAGCTAAAACACTTCACATTATCAATGGATATCCCTTCAATTGAAAAAAAGCATAAATAAATCATATATGTCCAATACATACTAAAAAAAAGGAAAAAAAGATAGTTGTAGTACCTTCGAACACGTCAGTCATCTTAGAGATCTGCAAGAAGGTGGCGCCCTTGGCCCACGCGAGCACGACGTCCATCAGCGTGCACTTGAACTTGCTCACGTACTCGTCCTCGTCGAGGTCCATCCTGGCATCGATCGACACTTTTGCTATACGACGGGCGTACTCCTAAATAGTGAACAAGAAGAATTCCAATTACTGATTAGGCATTTTTTAAAAAATGTTCTACAGGAACATTTCCAAGAAACCATATGTAAAACATCCCTCTTACTCATAATAACGTCAAATTCATTTCATTTCACAGAGCAAAAATAAAAAAAAAATGCTTAGTGATTGCTTGAATCATTAATGTTCATTACGAATCCACTTCACAAAATGTGATAGATAAAGTTACAATGTTTTCATCAGTATCAAATGCTTTAACACGCCCACACACACGAACACGTACACATACACGTACACGTACACGCACACGCACACGCGCGCACTTGCACGCAAGTATACAAATATCCATGGTGGTATACCTGTAGTTGCCGTAACACACCCCTAAGTTCCTCCTCGCCAGCGGAGGGCTGCGAAGAGTTCTCGTCACACACGAAGCAGCTCACCAGCGCCGCGCTCTGCTGCGCCGTCAGCGTGTTGAACACTCCGTTGAAGATCAGCTCGGTTAATAGTAGCTCGTCCGCACTATACACCAATGTTACATTAACATACATGAGTATCACCACACTGTTACCATATTGTTATATTTCAATACTTCAAGATTATATTTTTCTGCTGTTTAGTTATTCAGCATAATAATTAAAAAAATCTATTTTCTAAACTAGTGTCAGTATTCATTCCTAGAGTATGTTTGTTTTTTCCTAGAAATATCTTTATTACATTATCAAAAAATACTACGCCGCGTGATCCCGACATAGAATGAGCGAACCCTTCGTTTCCCGTGAGTGTCGTAAGAGGCGACTAAATGAACTTAATGGTGGAGAGATGGGCAGCAGCGTCCCTCTTAGGACGTCACCAAAGCCTCACTGCGGTTGCCGATCCGCCTGCTAAGCGACCTATGTTCTGCAGTGAACCAATAACAGCTGATATCATGATTACCAAATGGAAAGAGTAAATTAAAATTCTTGAAGAAATAAAGAACCTGTATCTGTACCAACAGCACTGCATAATATTAGGTCTTCATACAAATGCATTGAGAAAACTAGGTGAACTTCTTCATGCAATTTTGCGTGATAATTATTTATAAGTGTTTCCATTATAACTTCTATATTTATTTTATTTCTTAATTTTTGCATATTTTCAATGAGTAAGATTTTTTTAATTGGCTTCCAGTAGTGTATGTGTTTATGTCCTATAAACACATACACTAACATACTGCTCTTTGTTCCTTATTCGCCTCTTACTGTATGGAATGAAATGGAATAGTTACAAACTGTATTTTTACTCTATCGCGTTACAGCCAGAGTGTTCTGCAACATACTATTTAAAAATTATTATCACCTGCTTAGTTCACAAGCGATGCGTCCCTTCATCTCTATGACGTCAGCGGCCGTGCAGTACCCGAGCCGCCGCAACACTCGCTTGCGTTTCTTCAGCTCGTCCATGTGCAATATGCTCTTCGCTTTCTTCAACTCCGCCTTCGCTTGGCTCAGTTCTTCGTACAGTTCCTGTTTCTTATCGTACGCAGCGGTGAGAGCACCGCGGTTCTTGTCATTGTGTAGAGGATGTGCATACAGTCTGAAATTATAGAAAAAATATTATTACAAATAATATTATGAACTGCGAAATAATGGTTTGTCAGGTAATCAAGCAATTTTTGTCAAAGATTTTCCTTTATATATACAAGAAAAAGTTCGGGAATTTTTCATTTTGATATAGACTTTTTATGCGTCGATTTAAACTTGTTATTCTACTGACACTGTTCCGAGACAAAACAAACCCCACACTAAATATATTCAACATACAAAGTAATGTAATAAAAGAGGACAAACAAAATGGCTGATCAACGCACAGCACAACTGCAGAATCTTGATCTAGAAACATGAAATTCCAATACATATAAAGAGATCCGAAATTTATACAAGAATTGTGAAATAACAGGTTCAATTAAAAATAGAATTAAAGTTCACCTTTCCTCCAGTTGCTTAATCCTATCAGCACACTCTTTGAACACCTTATCTTCAATCTTCATGTCCTTTATAGGGTCCAAAAGTGGTGGTCCCTTGGGAAAGCGCTTTTTGGCGTCCCTCATAGTCTTGAGAACAGAGTCCCGACTGTCAAACATTCGCCGAGTCTTTGGATTGTAGAATCTAGCCGAGCTGATCTGACAGATCTGGGTATGCGGAACTGGTACCACTTCTATAATTCCTGTCTGTTTATACATAAACATATATAATATATCTAATTTAAACATAACAAGTACGTAATTCCTCCATTCACTAGGCATATTAGATATCACTAGGTATCATTAAAGGACATTATAATACTGTTATCAAGTCAATATGACTAATGATAAAATCAATTCAGATGTTTAATTCAAATATATCTAACTAAGCTGTCACCAAAACTACTTCCCAAACTGGTAAAAACTAAAAATGTGTGTGCTAGTGCGAGTGCGTGTGCGTGGGCGTGGGCGTGTGCGTGTGCATATACGTGTGAGTGTGTGTATTGTATACAAAGTGAAGTTGAATTCATTAGAATCTTTTAAATGTCATGACAGTAAACCTGAATGTTTCTTCAAGGAATATGGGACACATTTTGAATCTCCAATATTTCAGCTAAATTTATTTTCTAAATTTTTGATTCACTAAATTCCTGTCCTAATATACTTAAATTCTATAACATATGTAGATTCTATAAAAAAAAAACAGAATGTCTATTAATGTTTCTATTGTTTTTTTAAACATATAGTTTCAATATACAGTAATTATTTAAATTTGAAAGATTTCTGGTTAGTTCAAGTAATTCACACTAATCTTAACAGTCAAATCAAATCAAAACAAGAAAATTGAAAAAAAATACTCATACACTTTTAGAACCTCACTAACGAGATGGTTGTCAACTTTTATTTCTCCTATATGTTTGTTACGGACCTACATGGATATATTATTTTGATATTGACTTACCTCTCCTGGAGGACAAGGCATATTGCTATCCGGATCATTCTTGTCAGACTTCTTCACATGCAGCAATACATCGACAACGATGACCGCCTCGGCCGTCAGAGGAGTCTCCTGTCCTTTCTTGCCTTTTTGCGTTTGGTGCTTTATGTTCTCTACAAAACCCCAGTCGTACTCGTACTTTTCTGTTTTAATCTAAAAGCAATGGTAAATACTAAACTATATTGTTTGTTGTTATTGGTACTAAATTATATTGTTTTTTGTGTTATTCCGGCATAGAAAAGGCCATCCCTTCATGTCCCGTGGATATCGTAAGCATGGGCAGCAGCGTCTCTATTAAAATATCGTAATTAAAAGCGTGGCAACTACTTGAAACCCAAAGGGGAGTTTTATGTTCAGCAGTGTACTATTAAAGGCTGATATGATAATACAATCATGGTGTTGTATATATCTATAGACGATGATTAAAACGCTCAAGTCCTGCGGCACCAAACTCACGTGGAATAAGTCTCAAATATACTTTAGTCCAATTACCCATATTGAACTAAACAAAATAAACTTTATTACTTCTCCAATAAGGCTCAGATTACCCTTTTCACAAACCAAGTCTCCAGCAACTTTGTAATTCTATAAATAACTATGGCCTTAGTGATACATTCCATTTAATACAACAGGGACTTTTATTTCTACTTATTGTTACTCAATGTTTATTATTTAAGTACCTTAACCAGTCGTCCTGGCTGCAGGAAAGGTTTCAAATACTCAGGACGAGTAATGAACGACCGGAACTGCGCGCCGAGTACGTCCAGCTGCGACCTGATGCTGCAGTACGCAGCTACAGAGTG